TGGGTGGGCAGCGAGGGGAGGCCGCGGCACGGGGCCAGGCGCGTGGGCGCGCGGCACACCGGGCAGGCCACCGCGTCGCCACCACCCGCCGTGGCCAGCGACAGGCGTGCGAGGCACTCGAGGCAGAAGACGTGTCCGCAGTCTAGACGCTTGGGCAGCTTGAAGATGCCGTCGAACGGAGACACGCAGATGAGACACTCCATGGGGGACGCGGGGGACAGGATGGGGCCGGAGGCCGCGCTGCCATCGTCCTCGTCGTCGCCCTCGTTCCTGTCCCAGCTCCGCGAGCTGGGCGCGGCCGGGGAGCCCGGGGAACCGGGGCCTGAGCCCTGGCTGGAGACCTGGCGGCAGCAGAGCCAGGACGGTCTTGAGCAGGGCATTCGGACCTGCAGAGGGGGAGGGTCAGGGTATCTGGACCCACCAAGGGGGAACGTCAGGGCGTCTGCATCTTTGAAGCAGGGAGCGATGAGGTGGAGATGACAGCAGGGCTGAGTCTGCAGAGGGGTCACTGGGACCCAGGACAGTATCGGGGAGGCAGGGGAGTGGGAGCAGGTACACGGGGTCTGGATGCCCCAAAGCGGCCTCGGGAGGACAAAGGGAGTGTGTGGAGATTGGACCAGACTCACCCCAAGGGCGGCAAAGGAGACCTGGGGATGCAAGTGGCCAGGGCAAGGCTAGGGTAGGGTAATGTTATTGAAAAGAGTGGACAGGGCCAGGTTAGTGGAGGGACAGTGGGGACAGCCTGGACAACAGGTTAGACACTTCCTAACACAGACCCCAAGAGGAAAGCCCTGAGGAAGGAGACCAGGACACCCTGCCAGTTGTTAAGGGCGCAAACACCCGTGAGGGCCGGCTGTTTTCCTACCTGTTGGCACCTCTCCCCTCTGGCCAGTAGCAGTATCCCAGCCAGATCTGACCCCAATCCAGTGTCTACTGCGGGCCGAGAGGAGGCGCCCTTCCTGGAGGGTGGGACCCTGCTGTGGGCCCACCCCCTTCCAGGGACCTGGACGGACCTGTCCAACTACCTGCCCCGCCCCCAGGCTGGTCATGCTGGGAGGAGGCAGGCCCGGATGCAGGGGGCGGGTGATGACTGGTGACTGGGTTGCCCAGGTGCAGGATGCCCGGGTGGGTCAGCTAGCAGCTTTCTGGTGAGGCCTTGAGGCCCCAGAAAGTCAGGAGCGCATGCTCAGCAGTTACAGTTCCAACATGGTTTAAGACCCGCCCTGGTCTCAGGGAAGCCAGTGTGCACTCAGGATTCCACCACCAGTGCAGGTTCCTGGACATTGGGTGTGGCCAAGACTGCAGGGACTAGGATGTGGTTCTGGGTCCCCAGGTGTGCCTCACCCCCTTGAAGATGTAGACACTGCCTATGGGACACCCAACACCTAGCTGTTTCCTGGACTCACCCTCGCAGGACTCACAACTCTCATTTGCTACCACTGACCTCTGACCTGCTATGTCCACTGTACAACCAGGACAGGCAGGCTTGGCCCTCTACAGCTCAAGGGTGCTGGGGAAGCCTTGGTTCTGAGTCAGCCAGTGCTTCCTGAACCCCTCATGCTTTCTTGGTCAACCTGGTGGACACGCCAAGACCGTGAGCCCACAGAATGGAACCCTGGGTGGATGCCACACCCATGCTCTGAGAGTTCCAAACCTACAGCACAGCCTACAACTGGCCCACACCAGTTCCTGAGGATGCAGGTCTTTACGGACACTTAGGAAGGATGCTATGTTTGTGGTGACACCACTGCATTTCACCTACCCCTACAATCCCCCCAAAAAGCAGACACAGCCCAAAGGCAAAGCCACCCCAAAGGGCAGGCAGGTTTATTGGGTCACAGCCAGGAGATCAACGGTTGGACTTGGCCACGCGCTCCAATTCGTCCTTCTTCTTGATGGCATAGGAGTTGGAGGAGCCCTGAGAGGAGGGAGACGGTCAGCTGGGATGCCTGTGCCCACAAGGCCCACCCTCAGACCTGCAGTCTCCCCCATCCACCCACCTTGGCTGCATTAATGAGCTCATCGGCCAGGCACTCCGCAATGGTCTTGATGTTCCGGAAGGCGGCCTCACGAGCACCTGTGCACAGTAGCCAGATGGCCTAAGAAGACAAGAGTGAAGACCAGCTCGAGGCGTGGGTGGTCCCAACAGGAAGGCCTCAGCCTCATTAGACAGAGGAATCCCACAGCAACACCTGACCCATATCCTGCTCAATCCCAGCCCTAGAAATGTGCACAAAGCAAACACCACCAGCCCTGAGAAGTGGCCTCCAGGGCACAGGAATCGATCACAGGACCCAGAACTCGACCCACTGCAAATAGGAACAACTAGTCAAAAGACTCATCAATTTATTATGTGAACACAATGCAGATAAAGCTTTTCCTAATTGGAAGTGCAAAGTCATCCTTGTTTGTTTCTTTTTCCGGTCGTGTGTGCCATCAAATTCTATCCAACTAGCAGAGGAGGATTGCTCCTCCTTTTCCAGAGTAACATCTGATGGATTTGAACCCTGAGCCTTCAGGATTGCTGTGCAGCTTCTTACCACTAGGCCACCAGAGCTCCCTTTATCCTTGTTAAATTTCAAAATTACATCGTAAGAGCAAATGGTTCCCTACTCCTGCAGCCTCTAGGGCTTCAATCAGTTCTCAGACACTGTCCACCCAAACTCCCCATGAAGATACCCACTGCTCAATCCTAACCCTTCCTGCTTCCACTTACTCCCAGGCACATACGGCTTGTACGATTGTTCCAATTGGTTTAGCTGCCAGTTCAAATAGTTACAGACTGTCTTGCATATTCCTTTAGTTATAACTCAGTATGGTCAAGTAGTATCTTTACCTTTAGAGGTAATTTTTCTTGTGCGCCTTTCTACAGCACTAAAGTTTGGCCATTCTTTGCCCATTTTGGTAGTGAGTTTTCTTCAAGTTGAGCACGACATTGTGACCCTATGAACAAAAGGCCTGGAGCCCCTCTACAACTACTGACATTTATCCAAGCTCGTAGTTTCTGGAGGCATGTTGTTTAGGAAGTGGATGCCACTCCCGCTTCCAAATCTGTCATAGTATGTTACTGTTGTTCTGTACCATTGAGAGTTGTCTGTGATGTATAGCGACCCTATGTACAGCAGCTCTGAACACTTCCCTGTCCTGAGCCAGTCTCACTAATTTTGGTCCTAAGTATTTTAAAATTTTTTGATGCATGTTAAGGTTCCTTGGGAGGACAAGGCAGTCCTCTTCCCTCAATAATACAGACAGGGCAGCTGTGAGTTCACAGTGACTTGATGGCAGTAAGTTTGAATTTTTACCTGTTCATTGGTGTTGTGTATTAAATACTATATTAATATTGGTGTATTAAATATATCACAGCTAAGGGAGATCTGGTTGGCCTGGTGGAAAGCAGCTGCAATCCCAGATGCTCCTTTGGAGAACAGCAATCTCCTCCTGTGCCCGCCAGATCTGATATGAAGGCACACAAGCCAAACAAACAAACAAACTACAGCTTTGGGAGACTGATGATGAAAACGATGATGGTTGAACCCTGGAGGGGGCTGAGATGGGTCTGACATTAGACTATACAGAACATTATTCTACAGCTGTCAACTCCCTCGAGAGAAAAACAAGTGATAAAGGATGATCTTTGGAGAAATTCACCCAAACACACAGGTGGCAGGACACCTAAAAGGGACACTCACATGATTCAGGAAAAGCACAAACATACACATTCAAAGACAGACTTTTCCCCTTTGGGTTGATTCAATGTACAGGAGACAGAAGAGCCTAAAGGGGTTTACTGTGCTGAAATCTGCATGGGAACTGGCAGGTCCTTCCCCCTATGGAGGCCAGTAGTTTCAAACCACTCATGTTTTCCTAAGCATCCAGTGTTCAACCACTACACCACTAGGGCACACATACACACTCCCAACCTCGAAATCACTTTCAGTCAACTGATTCAAACTTACAACAGTCCTAGAGGACACGACCTGCCTCCAGTTTCTAATTATTTATATCTCCTGTTTTGTTGGGGAGCAGATGGAGGATTTGGACCACAAACTTCTAGTCTTGTTCTTCTAGTGCTTATTCCATTGTGCCACCAGTGCCCTCTGAACTACCAAATGACTTAGCAATTACAAGACGTCTAAGACATACACCTACACAAGCCTGCAGCCCAGTAGTGTTTGTGGTTCAGAGCTGGGATCTCCTGCTGGAGGAGACCTGGGAAGGGTTTCTGGAGGTGAAACATGCAGACTGGGGTAGCCGCCCCATGCAGACAGGCCTCCTCCTCCCACACCTGGCAGCCTTTCCTGCTCTACCCTTGTTCTGTGGCCCCAAGCCCACCTGGTTGACCCGGCGCAATGGAGACACGTCCACAGCTTGCCGCCTCACTGTTCCGGCTCTCCCAATACGTGTTGAGTCCTCTCGGGGGCCACTATTGATGATGGCATTCACCAGAACCTGCAGAGGGTTCTGGAAGAGAGAAGAAGGACTAGAGTACCAGGAGGCACCACTTGGGCACAGAGGGCCAGCCCCACAGGGGACAGCGTCAGGTATCCCGAGGCAGGCAGCCGCGTCAGGTACCCCGAGGCAGGCAGCCGCTGGCTCTGAGCTGGACTACAGGCGTACCTCACCAGTGAGCAGGTGGATGATCTCGAAGGCGTGCTTGACAATGCGCACAGTCATGAGCTTCTTGCCGTTGTTGCGGCCGTGCATCATCATGGAGTTGGTGAGACGCTCCACGATGGGGCACTGGGCCTTGCGGAAGCGCTTGGCGGCGTAGCGCCCTGCACTGTGGGGCAGGTACTTGGCATACTTCTCCTTCACTGCAATGTAGTCCTGTGGACAGACAAAAGGGGCGATGGTCGGAAGGACAGGCCCTGGCTGAGAACTAGCGGTGGTGCAGGGGATGCGGATACACCTGCAGTCTCACTCGCCTTCACAAAGGAATGTGAACACACCGCTGAGCGTCCTTCCTCTGCAGCACTGAAGGTGCTTGGTGCCTGCCCACAAGTCATTAGTGACACCTCCAGCTACACATCAAATAACAGCCTTCTCTAGACAATGCTGAATGCCAAGGGTCAAGAACCACCAGCAGGATTAGAGCAGACACTAATTACTCTTTTATTGATTACTGCACCCAAGTATCCTGTTTCTACAAATACAAAAATGGCGGGAGAGGGGAACCCCTGCACTAACACGGAAGTAGAAGGGAACCTGCAGAGGATGCTATTGCTTGTGCAGCACACACAAAAAAAGGATAAGCTGTAATCAAGGTTTAATGTGTGTATCCTGCAAAGGTCCACTCAAAACACAAATTTTAAAAAGGATAAACTGTAATCAAGGTTACAAACATAATGTGTGTATCCTGCAAATGTCCACTCAAAACCCAAATTTTAAAAAGCCCAACCAAAACAGAGACGTATGCCTACAAGGTTTTCAAGAGGATGTCTTTATTTTTTTTAACAAATGGTTTTAGGACTGGACACAAGACTATAATAGGAACTTTATCAACAAAGCAAGTGTTCTGTGGAATTGAACAGTTCCACCAGCTAGAGAGGAGCAATCTCATGGTGAATGAACACATAAGGATGAAGGGCCAGGGGAGGCGAGAGGAGGAGGACAGAGGACGTGAGTGGAGGGACAGGGGAGGCAGGCAATTTGAGTCCTCGGATTGCAGTCTGTCTTGACTTAAAGGACAACTACAGAGATTCTTCCAAACATAACGCGCCTCTGCTCGGAAATGTCAGAGTGTGGGCGGCACCATCCACTCCTCCGCCTTCCACCACCCGCTTAGCGCCGCTGACCGTCCGGCCACCGTGCGCACCTCTCCAGTGCCCACTCACCTGCAGGGAAATGTCATTGATCTGCACGTCGTCCGTGCTCCACTTCCCGAAGAGCTTGATGTCCGGGGTCTCGGCCACCGCGGGCGTGGCTGGGTCCCAATCCGTCATCCTGGACCTGGGCAGGGGAAGGGAGATGGAGATCAGAGCAGTGCCACTGGGGGCGTCAGGGGCACCTCCTGCGGAACGCAAGAGCCACGGGCACCGAGCCGCAGGTCTCCAGCCAACTTTTATTCTCACTTTCGAAACTACTAAAGTTTAAAAAAAAAAAAGATCCTTGGTGATGGGCACGCGCGGCTCCCGCCAAGGACTCCTGGGGTCAAGAGGCGTTAGGCGCCGTGGACCCGATCGCCGCGGTGCCACCTCCAAGCCCCGCAGGCTGCGACCCCGCTGCCGCCGTGACCCCGCACACGGAGCCCGATGGCCGAAGGGCTGCGCGCGGCGGGGACACGTGCACGGAACCAGAGCTGTGCGTCCAGAGCACGCGTCCCCGGGCCATCGCGCGGCCGCATTCCCGAGCTACGGGCCCCACGGCGGCAGCACCCCCGGGGCCGGCCAGGCACCCCTCCCGGGAGGACGACCCAGGCCCCAGCGCCCTCCCGACGGCGCCAGGAGGCCCCTGGAAGGCGCCGGGTGAGCTCACGGGCCCCTGGCCGTGCGGCGGCCTCACCTGAACGGAAAACCGACGAGTCACAAGCGCTCGGCGTGGACCACGCGCCGACTAGCACCGACAGGAAAAGACCGCCCGCCGCGGGCCGACGTCTTTAACCGCGGAGATCACTTCCGGGTCAACAGCCACGACCGGCCATTGCTGAGACTCGAGGTCGTCAGAAGCCAATCAGAAGCAAGGATGTAAAGGCGCCCGGAGCTGGGCATGCGCGTTTCGGTGGGCAAGGCGCCTCAAGGGTCTGGCGGAAGTCGCTTATCTGGGAAGCTGCCGACGACAGCGCACGCGCAAAAGCTTCCTTGAAGCCAATTTTGCCATTTCTCCCGAGGGCAGATGGTTAGCGTGAGGTCTCTGTTCCGCCAATGATTTTTCCACCCACCACGTTGAATTTCGGACAGGACGAGGAGCGTCATGGCCTGCTCAGCTACCGTCACCTCCCGGGCAAAGGCGCCGCGGGGCCGTATAGCGGGGTCGTACCGGCACGATGGCCCCCGAATGCGCAGTGACACAGTGGTCCCCTCCCTACCTCCCCGGTCTCGCAGAGCGCGTGCCCCCAAAGCTGCGACCCCCACGGAGGGTTCTCGATCCGCTTTGACGTTGGCCGCAGCTCATGCTGGACCACCGCACCCCCAGGCGCCTGCAGTCCCCTGCATCTGGCGCCCCTTCAGTGTCCAGTCCTGGAGGAGAGCCCGAGATCTCCTTCGGACCGGCGGGACAGCATCATCTCACAGTGGCCTTGGGTGCTGCCGCATCTAGTGGCTGCGGACAGGGCAGCTTGGCGCCCCTTCGAGGGTATCCCTTGCTTTCGTCCCTCCGGAGTGAGGACCTAGCATGAGGAGCTGGCCGCAGCCTGACTTCATGCTTGGTCACGCGGCTCAAGGGTCTCCCCGATTTCACACCCCGACTACCGCGGGAGGGTGGGCAAGGGGCCTAGGGTCCCCACAGCCCTTAACCAGCCTCTTCAAGTAACAGGAACTTTGTATGTTTGAGGCCTAAGGCTGGAACAAGGAGGCATGGGGAGTAAAGCAGAGAAAGGAAAGATGTCTGTTTCCTACTCTCAAAACTTGAGCTCTCGCCTCTGAGGGGCAGACCCCAGAGACCACATGGGAGCTTGGGGTGCAGAAGAAGAAGGCAGCCTCATTTAGAGATGGCTTTCTGCTTTGTGCCTAGGTTTAATCCCTCTTAGGGGCCTGGATACTTGCCTAGTAAGGTTATCCCTTGGCCCCAAAAGGCTGTGCCTAGTGCATGGTTTGAGGAACATCTCCCACCTTCTTGCATCTGGGACGTTTGGAGATGCTGGGGTCTTGGGCATGGTGGATCACGCCAGTGTCCATGCTACCTCCCACACACACACACTTGGTCACCCTAGTCATTGCTTCAGATGTGTCTGAAAGGTGGACCTTGAGTAAGGATGGCAGGGCTTTAGGATTGTGTTGCTAGAATAACAACTATGCTATGGCTGCTAAAGCAAACAAGATTATGATTGGCACCCATGGCGGACAATGTTCAGTGGAGCTCTGTATTAAAACAAGCTTGGATGTAGCAATGGCATCTACTTCCAAAATAGCTCACCTCTGGAGACTCGATGAACCTGGAGAAACAAAGGAAGTTATACAAGTCTTCAGGTCTTTTGTTCATGGGTCGTCTACAACTCAATGGCACTTAACGAAAACAACAACAGGGCTGCTGAAAGAACAAACAAACATGACTTAGAGAAGGTGCTCCTTAGAGAGAAGGGGAATGACACCTTGTGTCACACACTTCGGGGGGGCGCATTGTCAGGACAGACCCATTCTTGGAAAAGAACATTAGGCTGAGAAAGGTGGAGGGTCAGAGACAGAAGACGACCCTCAACGAGGTGAACTGACATGGTGATTAGAACTGTGGGCTTGAGCATGTCAGCATAAGAATGGTGCAGGGCTCGTCCTGTTCAACTCCACGACGCCTAACAGCAACGTAATAGAAATAACACAAGTGACTGGCTCTAACAGCAGTGTGTTGTTAGGTGCTGTTGAGTCAAGTATACTTCATAGTGACCCTATGAACAATAGATCTGAATTCTGTTCTATCCTGCGCCATCCTCACAATCTCTGACATACTTGACCCCGTTGCTGCAGACACAATAGCAGGCGCACCTTATTCAGGCCATGGTCTTTTCCATCTCCTGCTACATATCTGAGAGCTAGACAGTGAATAAGGATGACAGAAGAAGAATTGATGCCTTTGAGCTGTGTGCTAGAAAAAGAAGAACTGATGCTTTTGAGTTGTGTTAGAAAAGAATGTCAAATATTCCACGGACTGCAAAAAAAAAAAACAACAGATATGTCTTGGAAAAGTACAGCCACGGTGGTCCTTGGAGGCAAAGATGACAATGTTCCATCTCTCATACTTTGGTGTTGCTAGGAGAGGCTATTGCTTGGAAAAGGACATCATGCTTGGAAAGATGGAGGGTCATCGAAAGAGAGGAAGATCCTCAAAGAGGCTGACACAGTTTAGGAGCCTGGAAATGAGAATCCAGAGTGGCAGCTCAGGTGAAGACTTTGTCTTCTTTGTGTCTCCTAGTTCTAAGCACATGAGGTCCAAAGGACACCTTCTGTTCCCACTCCTCTTTCTCGGTTGTAGTAGGTCCTTCTGATGTCTGTTCACTTGTTGTTAAGGGCCGTCCAGTCATAGATGACTCATAACAACCCTAGGAACGAAAGACCTGAACACTTGTATAACTTATGTTGTTTCTCCAAGTTCATAGAGTTTTCAGAAGTAAGCTATTTCAGAAGTGGATGCCACTCCTGCTTCCAAGCTTGTTTTAATCAGGGACCTCCACCAAACACCATGGGTAACCATGATGGCATTTGACACATCAGCGTCACAGTGTTCAGCTTCACAGCAATCACAAGTTACCTCTGTACGGCAAATGGACAGACCAGGGCTATACCACTTAGAAGAATGTTTGACCAAAAACAATGAAAACCAGGCCTGAGGGCTGCAGATTAAAATCACCCACCTATGGCTTGGTGGCATAACTTTCTATCCACTAGGCCAATTGAGCTCTATTTACTCTCCTGTATTTCAAAAGGCAGTGATTAAAAAAAAAAAGTAATGAGATTGACTCAAGACAGAACCCAATCTTATAGATAGTATCCTACCTCATTAACATAACTGCTGTCTGTCTCTTGAACATCTCCATTAAAAAGAAAACAACCCACGGCTTTGAAATCCGCTCCAAATCACTGACCCTCTATTTTAACTGCCCACCTTTTTGATTACTAGTTTGACGACTTACCACTACACCACTAGGGCTCCTAGGTGAGAAATAAGAACACAGAATAGTTACCTCAGCTAACGAAAGAATCATGGCCTTAGCCAAGTTGACACAACTTGGGAGGAAACAATTCAGTAACAGTCTTCAGCACCTCCTGGACTTGGGCCAGGAATTCAGGCTGGGACATGAACTTGGATCTGGTGAGCTTCCTAATGGCAGTGACCCCTGTGACTACATAGTGGTGCCGTGAGGTTCAGCTGCTCTTCAGAAAAGGTATAGTAGCAACAATATAACGAAAACCCACAGCCTTGGAACCCCCAGGCCTCGCTTCTACACTGAGTTGAATGTTGGGTATATTTTCTCCTGGCACTCATTTGCATCCACTTTAGTGTAGAGTCTTAGATCAGAAGAGACTCCTGAGGCTGAGGCTGGTGGGGTAGGGGCAGCAGAACTGAGGAGGTGACCTGTCCATCCTGATCCAGGTTGGGGGGCAGTGGGGCAGGGTATAAGGCCATTGTGGGGTTCTGGGTGGATGCTTGGCTATGGAGAGCACAGGAAGTCTGATCTGGGTTCAGTATTAAAGCTCTGGTGAGTCTGGGAGTTGGGCAGATGGGCACAGCCAAGAGACTTAAGGCATTTTCATCCCTGTGATAGTTGAGAGATTCATGTGAGGTCTAGCCCAAATGGGACAATGCCTTTCTATAGCAGCCAGAGAGAGGCGGTAAAACTCGTAAGTCAGATTTTGTCCCTCTGCTTAAAACTGCCTCTGTATCATTCTAACGCATCAGAAAAGTTGGATGAATTGAATAATGAATAAGGAAGACAGAATAATTGATGCCTTTGAATTGTTTGTGGTGGTGGAGAACTGAATATTCCATGGACTGCCAAAAGAATGCACAAATCTGTCTTAGAGGAAGCAAAGATGATGAACCTTCATCTCACATGTTTGGGTGTGTTGTTAGAAGATGCCAATCCTTGGAAAAAGACACCAAACTGGGAAAGGCAGAGGGTCAGTGAAAGTGAGGACAACTCTTAACAAGATGCATGTGAATTGTTAAAGGGAATACCAATTTAATCTGTTAACGTTCACCCAGATCTCTACAGAAAGGTTTTCTAAAGAATGGAACCCCACAGTTATTAAAGGGCACGTCCCATTTCCCACTCTCTATAGCTTATGACACCCAATCATCGCTCTGCTCTATGGATTTACCGTTTCTGGGCATTTCATAGAATGAAATCGCATAACATTTGGCCTCTGTGCCTGGTCCCTTCCTTTTAGCAAGATGCTTTTGAGGCTCTTCCCTTTATAGCCACTGGGATCTCACCTGCTTTATCCACCTTCAGCCGCTGCCGAGATTTGTTTCTTTCTGTGTTTCTCTCCCTTTTCAGTTTTGACCATTCTGTGGAAAGTTGATGATATTGGTTAGGACATCTCAGTTACTGGGGTTTGCCTTTTGGCCTCTCCCCTTGGGAATTGCTGGCTTCTTAGTTTCTCCTTTGTTCTTCCAGATACAGCAGCCAGGATTGTGGTTAAGGTCCGCTTCGTGGTGGTGGTGGTGGTGGGGATATGCCAGGGAGGGGGGTGCAGCTGCACCACAAGCCTCAAGTTCTGAGTGGATCTGTTTCTGTGAGCTCCAGGCTCCCAGGTCCTCTGTTCTTGAATGGGAACAGCAGGACATCAGCCCAGCAGGGGTCAGCCTTGACCACGTTGTGTTGTTAACCCACCCCTTAGTCTCCTCCCCCCCAAAGTTGACGCTGTTTGTGTCTCAGTCCCTTTGGTCATCAGTCCTAGGGCCTGATTGAAGTCCACTCGAGCAGCTTCTCCAAAGGTCAGGGTTTATGACAAGGAGCCTGGGTCAGTCTGGCTGGTGCAGGTGAAAGGTCTTTAGATCCCTCCCACATGCACATTGAATGGTCCAAATCCAGCTTGAAACAATGGATGGTGGGCCTAGGACCTTCCCT